GAGCACTTGTTTCGTCATTTCCACTAACTTAACGTTCGCTCTTCACTGTCATTTAATACATAAAATCGAGATTATAGAAACGATAAAACAGGAGCGGCAGTCTACCGGCGGTCAAGTTCCCGCCAAAACATCCATGCCTATGGTTATAATTACAATCTATTCAACTACTACTTAGCTACTACCAATCTAATCAACTGACCGCTGAACTCCACGCGAACATTTAGTGACACGTTTGCACTATCGGCAACAGCATCTCGCCGAGTTATATTTGGACTAGTACCACGCGTTTACATATTCTTCTGTATTCAATGAATACTATTCATTCAACGTATATCTTTAAAACATAGATGACGTGCGTCTCCTTGCACCGACTTTGTCTACTTGATATTTATATATTCACAAATATTTGAGGGTTGTGGAGCGCCCTCACCACTAGATGGAACGACGACTTACCAGGTCATGTAGGAAGTCGATGGATGAAGATGGTTCAAGACCATGCTTTGTGACATTCCTTGGGAGAGGCCTAGGTTCAGCAGTGGACTTGTGAAGGGCTGTAATGATGATGATGATGAAATATTGAAATACATTTGCATTTATTGAAAAATGGTTTCATTTTCTAGGACCCCATATCACGGGTTCTTCTTGATAAAGTTCTATAAAAATAGTGTTGCGCGCCATAATTAATGCCCGGTATATGGCGGGTGATCATTAGCTAGTATCAAGTAGCAGAAATAGGAGCGTCAAGATCTTTCTAGAACTTTCCCACTAGCGCCATCTAGTGTCGAGTGGCGAGGGCTTTCTGGAGGATTCTTTGCTAGAACTTTCGACATTCTACTCGGACGTTCTAGGTGTTTTCGGTGGAAAAAGGTCCATATAAAGTCGGTAAGGAGCGCGTTCGGGGCAGTATTGAATTGGCGACACACGCGAAGACTTCGGAGCGAAATAAAGTGTTAAGTGTGATTAATTATTAATGTTTTAAGTTTTAATTGTTGTTGGTAATTAAAGTGTCAATTTTGGTAATTCAATCGGCAGTTTTTATTGCCACAAACCCAAGGCTCGTAACAATAGTATATTCGCTACCCTAATCTATCACAGTGGGTGGCATGTTTATTATTATTTCACATTATTTTATAAGAAAAATAATAAATACTTGCAACAAAGTTCACGGGTCAAGCAAATAATAACGAGTATGTAAAATCGAACATACACGAGCATTTATTTTACTCTGGACAAAACCGACTTCGAGTGGAGAATACTCGGGCCGAGTAGCGAAAACACGCGAATAAGGCGTTTACATACCCGTACTCGTGCCTGCTCCTCTGTGCTCGGCGAGTATGTAACCGTTACATAACAACATGAAAGTGTTATAATAACTTGCAGCAATGTGACAAATTATTCGACATCCCACTTACACGATTAGGTAAGATAAATAAAATAACAGGTTAATTTAAAATGTTTATATGATACAAAAGAATCCAACATAATATTACATAGTTTACCTTTATACAAAAATAACAAAAACGTTTTACTTGTATTTTAAGAGTATTACTAGGTACATTGTACCGATATAATATAACTATAATACTTGATGCAAGTCATTATCACAATCGTCCTTAGAACAAACAATCACATCCTTATATTATTATGTGAATATCGGTAATAAAATTACTTTTTTTAATTCATTATACCTAAAAGGAAAGTAATTAGACTTAAATAAAAAGAAAGGTACTGTACCATAGATGTACAGAGAAGAAAATCATGTGTACCTGCCACATACACACCACAAAAACTCTCACTCATACCACATTATTATTTTTGAAACAAAATAACCAATGAGATGAAATCATATGGATTACGTTCATAACTGTATGAGCCAGGATTCCTATGCCTTCCCTGCACGGGAAAATATTAAATAAGAAGTTATGTATGCAAAAACAAATACCTAGAGTTGTTAATGCTTCCAAACCGTATTTAACAAAGACTTATTTAACACGCTGTATATGTAATGTATCTATCATACATTTACCATTAATAGTAGACGTTACACGTATAAAAAAACGTGTGCGCAGTTCACACGCTATAGAAGTGAAACCTTCAGAAAATGAAACTTCGAGAGGATGAGACGAATCCAGAGTATTTATGAGTTGGATAATAATTGTAAGGTGTATATTATAACATTGTTACCAAGTTTAAAAATTATTTTATATAATGCTTCCAAACCGTATTTAACATACTTATTTAGCACGCTGTATATGTAATGTATCTATCATACATTTACTATTAATAGTAGACGTTACACGTATAAAAAAACATGTGCGCAGTTCACACGCTATAGAAGTGAAACCTTCAGAAAATGAAACTTCGAGAGGATGAGACGAATATTTATGAATTGGATAAAAATTGTAAGGTGTGTATTATAATATTGTTACCAAGTTTAAAAATTATTTTATATTTTGTTGTACATATACTTATTACATTAAAAATTATACAGACTTCACGTTTAAAATTTCATCATCGTAAGTACCTAAATATTTTCTAATCAACAAATGAGATGTTCCAAAATGTATGGAGCCTGGGCCAGGTCCTATTGTACACTATACTCAAAATTAGGGAAGCAAAATTTAAACGGTTCTCAACTGTCCAATTATTTTATTATGGCTTTGTTTGCTGGTAAAGCACAGGAAATTACACTTAAAATTGCAAAACAAAAACCCGTCATGGCGGTAAGCTGTCATTTTTATTAATAATTAGTGACGTTTGACATATTTATTTCACGTATTTTTGACACTTTTGTGACAACAGGCAGTTCTTTTGACATGGTCAATGGTCGCTTTATGGTTTACTGTCATTGTCTATAAGCATAGAGTAACTAAATCGGTAAGACGCCATGTTTAAAGTCGATAAAAATAATTGATAAACATCAATTGTTTACCACAATAGGACACATTGAAATGAATTATCTGTATTTTTCCCGAATTCTACATGTTTTTTTCTTTTCTTTTTTTTTTTTGAGGTAGTATCCATAGACCTGGCCCATTTTGAAATATCTGCTTTCGTTCATAGATCACAATATCCATAATCTCCATATATTATAGAAAACACTATGTACTGTACAACAAACAAAACATATATGTACTGTATTCCATCTCATTCTCTCGCAGGCTAAATTCAATAGATGTGGATGTTTGTCTCTTTTCGGTGTCGCTTTTTCGTTTCATCGAGTTCCTAAAGAAGTTCTAAAATCAATATAATAGTAAAGTAAATTAACTCGAATATATTTGCTTAATCTGCGCGTTTACAAAACAAACATTTATATCTCTAATCAAATATGAAAATCAGTCAATGGGAGCAAACTAAACTTGATTAAATTCATAAAGTAAAGGGAAACGCACGGTCAATTCAACTGATCATTCCAACTGATCTATCGAATACTATCTGATATATCGAAAATCCGATATTTTAAAAAATATCAACAGTCCTACTTTGAACTGATCAGTTAGAATGATCAGTTGAACTGACCGTGTGTGTCGTTCATAAGAAATCATATAGTGATTTTGATTTAAAATAGTATAAGATACTTAAGCTAGCTATCTGAGGTTCGATTTAAAATAAGATTTCTGTGATTTACACAAATTCATACATAGAAATATATCAAACACAGCCTATTAAATGTGGCACGAGGAAAAAATTGACAGGACAATTTTAGGGAGTATAATTTTTTTTAAATAGATTTTAAATCGTTATAGATCATTATATTAAGATATGTCTCGCCAGTAACGCAAAGTCAGGAGTTTGCATTTATAAAAAGCCAAATTTAAAAGCATTTTAGGTGCTAATTAGGTGCAAAGTTTAAAAATCAGTCCGCCCTTTATATAAAAAAATCTTTGATATGTTGTAAATTAACAAAGTTGTTTATGTATTTCATTTAATTTACATAGAATCACAATTGTGTTGTTATGATAATATGTTGTATTTATGTAGATAATTTCATTTTCATTAATATCTTTGTTTAGTATATTGTCGGACTGTTATATACCTAGGGATATAGTTATATAGTAGTGACATGACCGCGGTTGCTAACTATCTTACTAGACTAATGTAGTAAAATATATATAATTTCAATTAACGTATCAACGAAAAAAATTAATAACCAACTGATTTCGCGACATGGACATTGGATTTTGATTTTGTTGTTCATGTTAATTTTTAGTCAGTAGGTCCCTAAGGATATAACAATATCACGGCTTTACCCATCTTACCGCGACATATACATCAGTGCTGATTGTAAAATAAGTGTAGAGTGTATTCTTAATAACAACACATTTCCGCTCTGACGTCGTACTTGCATATGAAAGCGTTCAATAGCGAGATCTATTACAGCCTATAAATGTTAAGTGCTGAACACAGGCCTCCCCCATAAATGGTATTTTGCCATAGTTGCCACGCTTGGCAGGCAAGGTTAGCAACCACAGTTATTTTACTATTATTATAAGTTGTAATTAGGAAGATGTTATGCCTATTTTAGTTTAGAACTCATCTTCTATTTTATTTTCCATCTGTCGTCTCTTATTAGAAGACACTTGTCGTATTATTGTTAGATGCGTAAAGTGAGATAACACGTTTACTTTTTCTTTGTCTTCTTCTTTTTCTTTCTTTATGGCTATAACGATAAATTTGCCAATGACATGTTTCATAGAAACAATTTTAGTTAGGAATAATATCACCTTTCATTACTTATATGAAAAAAATCTGCAGTAAACTATTGGACCATACCTACTCTATTTTTGGAAACATACAAGCACGTGTAAACCCTACCAATAACAATATAAAGTTAAACAATCTTTGACGACGTTATTCAAAAGTACAGTGTTTCTTGATGCGGAATTATTTATGTCGGAGAGCATAGGATTGTCGAGTATGGAGCTGGAGCCTAGCGGGTGTGGTAAGGTCCGGGTCGATTCGGTCCGGTGCGATCCGGTCCGATGCCCTACGGTACGCGATCATTGCGTGTGTGCAGTGCGTACAGCACGCAGTTCTGTCGCGAGGCGACGTACTGCACGCTTCGCCGCCTCCAGCCGCAGCGCGCCGCCGCACGCGCACGCCCGGCAGCGCGTACACACCCCGCCCCCCTCCTCCCCCACCTCCCCCAGCTCCTCATCGCCCACGCTCTCCCCTAACATAACTTCACCACTGCCCCCGCTCACACCTTGCCCGACCAACCCGGAACTACTAACTTCGCTCGCTGCACTCGTCTGTCATAACGAAAAAACCAATACAATAGAATAGAATAATTTTATTTAATAAAGATTATTAAATAATACTTATTAAAAGTCATTTTTATATTTACTATGAAATATTCTTTAAATATCCTTTATCTGTCATCGTGTAGTGGCGTTGTAAGAACTTCCACCACCACATACCATCGCTTGCGTGCAACAGAGGAAAAGAAATCAGGAAATGAGCAGCAGCGTCTTTCTATGGCTACTATGACAGATATCCCCCCTATAAGGCAAATTTGGGGGAGGCTATATTCATCATCATCATCATCACCATTACAGCCCTTCACAAGTCCACTGCTGAACATAGGCCTCCCCCAAGTAATGCCACAAAGCACGGTCCTGAGCCACCTGCATCCATCGACTTCCTGCATGTCTTACCAGGTCGTCACTCCATCTAGTGGGGGGTCGCCCTACACTACGCCTACCGGTACGAGGCTGCCACTCGAGAACCCCCCACGCCCCCTCCCCGCCCCTCAAAACTCCCCCCCCCCCCAAGGAACTCTCTCCACCATCACTGGCAACACGCACTGGTTGTACACTTTAGTTTTCAGAGATTGAGGTATACCTGACGAGAAGATGTGTCGTAATTTCCCGAACGCTGCCCAGCTGCGTTGAATCCGTCGATTGACCTCTCGGTCGAAGTTGGACTTACCTAGTCGGACTATTTGTCCCAGGTAAACGTACTCGTCAACAACTTCGAGCTTAGTGCTCCCAACAACTACCGGCATAGGTGTGACATGGACATTGAACATGATCTTTGTTTTGTCCATGTTCATCTTAAGACCTATCCGTTGGGAGACACCATTGAGGTAATTGAGCATAGTGCATAAGGACTGCCATAATCGTCAGCAAATCGAAGGTGAGTGATGTACTCGCCATTGATGTTAATACCGTATCCTTTCCAGTCCAGTAGCTTGAAAACGTCTTCCAACGCAGCGGTGAAGAGTTTCGGGGATATAACGTCACCCTGTCTTACACCTCTCTGCAGTTGGATAGGTTTCGAACTCTGGTTCTGTACTCGGATAGCCATCGTAGCCCTACTGTACAAACACTTCAGCACTTCGATATACCGACAGTCAACTTGGCACCGCTGAAGGGACTGTAGCACCGTCCAAATTTCGACGGAATCAAAGGCTTTCTCATAGTCCACATACGCCAGGCAAAGTGGCAGATTGTACTCTTCGGTCTTCTGTACCTGTATTCATTGGTAGACTATAATAGGCTGTCACGGTAACAGTACCCTCTGTTTTTTTATATTCTGTGGTTTTATAATTAATACTAAAGTCCACATATATGTTACGCAAAGAACATATTATTTTCTTTCGTGTGTCTCAGTAAATATATACGCCTTTAGGAAATAAACTTCTTAAACCACATTTACCGCAATGATCGCCGTATTACGCCGCATTATATACGCCGCATATACCGCATTTACGGCTTAGGCCGGTTTTCAAAGACAATCTCGATCTCAAACTAATTTTTACATAATAGAGAAATGATTTACATAATACTAATTACTAACGTAAAATGTACAAGACATTCCATCTTAGTCGACTCTGTCGGTTTACTTCTCTGTGACGCAGTGGCTTTGCAATAAATTTCAAGGCTAAGGGCCGCGGAATATCGCACGGAACAAGTACTTGTGTTACCTACGTATAACTGTTCCGGGTCTAGTTGATTGTTTTTGTAAAATTTATAAACTGCCCCTGCTGCCATATTGGAGAATATTCCAGTGAAAAGAAGAAAGTCTTCAGTGATGACAACGCATCCACATTACGATTCTTAGTAGAGAATAGATGTCAATGTCTATGGAGCACAGCAACTACTTACCCTCAGGTGGACTTTGTATCAATGATTATCATCCAAATTCTATGAAAAAAATGTCAAAATTACACCACATACAAAGAAAAGGAAGTAAATAAAAACGTAATAAAAAGACACTGATTCTCACCACTGTTGCCTTATTCGCATTCGCAATAAGTTTCTCGAAGTTACTCTTGTTCATAACGATCTTGACGGGGGTCCGTTGGGAGATTTTCTTTTTCGCTTTCAAAGGCAACACTTTGGAGGGAGATATAATTGTGGCGTCAGGGGGTAGTTTCACGATCTTCACTTGCTGAAATAATCAATCCTTTAGTATTATAACATGTACCGAAAAATACTAATTGATACTGTACCAAAAATTTATCACCCCTTAACGTACTTTGGGGTCTTTCCCTTAGTCGATTTACAGAAAATCAAGAATATTCTGTGGTTTAGGCATTTTTTTATTCTTCATCAGACCGCAGTATCAGACACCTTCCGTCACCAGCCTGGATATTTTACGTTTAGCATAAATGTTTCTGCCGCATTCAAATTCTCTCAGTGAACTTTGACGACACCCACGGGACGAAAATCGGTGATGGATGCTTTATTTTTAGTATTAGCTGTGGAATATCTTTAGGTAGTTGGACTCTTTTTTCTGGCTGGGAGTCCGTCTAGGTAGATACCACTCTCGTAGATATTACTGCCGTCAAATTGCAGTGCATGAACTCTGTGATCCGCTCTGTAGAATGTAGAGAATCAGTATTGTTACAAGCTGTGAGGCATTCCATCTTAGTCCTCAGAGATGACGACACATCTGTAGCCTTCTGTTTGAAGTTGGTTTCTGAAGTCTATGAGTTATAATTACCTTCCATAAGGTAAGCTCGAATGTTACTTCAGTTGCATAAAAATAAGCTTATTAAACATGCAGTGCAGTATTTTAGTTATGTTGCATATATATTCATTGCGGTTATGAATATAGGTTACAAAATATCTTATTACTATTTATTACATACATATCAGTATCACTATATTCAGTCCGTAGCCATTTAATTTCTTTCTAGGCAAATAGTCACTTACATAATCGTTAATTCATCAAAAACGATTTGAGTTAATTCTAAACATTTTACGGAAATCCAACCCATCCCCCTCCATCTTACATTCACATTCATTCCAAACTGTATATTTCGTAAGTTGAATTTTAAATGTCAGTAGTGAGTAAACTTAATTTTTTTATAGGAAAAGGGGCAAAGAAACATACGGCTCACCTGATGGTAAGTGATTACCACCGCCCATGAACACTGCAACACCAGGGGGAATTGCAGATGCGTTGCCGACCTTTTAAAAAAGGAGTAGGTTCTTTTCTTGAAGTTCCCTAAGTCGTATCGGTCCGGAAAAATGTCTGGTGGTAGTCGATTATTCCACAAGAAAGTTGTGCGAGGAAGAAAACTTCTTTTATATCGCACGGTGGTGGACCGCCAGTCATTCAGATGGTATGGATGGTATCGAGAGTTTTGTCGCGATGTGCGATGGTAAAATTGTGCGGCTGGAATTAGTCAGGAAATCTAAAAACTATTCGGCAATTTATTGTAAATAAGTTCCATGCCATAAACCTTTTCGCTCATCATGGTATATTGCTTAACCTTAGTTTATATTGTAATCCAACTTATTTTTTTAATTTACAGAAAATTACTGAGTACATACTGACCTGCAAATCCCGTGGGTTGATGACTCTCCGGATCGGTGTGGTTGATAAGTTGGCGAGGCTGGTGAGGCCGTTCAGCGTGAACACCTTGGGACCGGCTCGCGGGAGAGACTTGACCGCCTTCGCAGTCAAAACTACTCCTCCTGAACCCCCTACGCCCCCCACTGACACCGTACCCCCCGCGCCAACCACGGCCGCACTAGTGCCCCCCGTGGAGCCAGCACCCACTGAGGTACTGACCCTAGCATTACTAATGCCACCCGTATTACTAACGATCCCTATACTTGTAACGTTTGCTCCACTTGTGCTGCTTTTCGGAGCTGAATTGACTGAGGTGTTTAAAGCGCCGCTCTCTTTTAACATCAGTTTCCCCGCGTCTGAAGACAAAACAGTATAACTGAATATTGTTAAAAACATTTGCCCTTAGATCGATGGTTTTAAGAGTTGTAATAGAAATTATAACATGGCGTAAAAATAAGTGCCCATAGTTTCTTGCAGGTTCTTCTCCGAGCCTGTGTTTGCGAACCGGTGTAGTTTTGACGGTCATAATAGCTTCGAATAATCATTAATTTAATAAATTAAACCAAAACGTTAAAAAAATCCAAATCCAAAAAAAAACCTAAATTCAAATGTGCATGCCTTACGCGTGCTCATTTTTTACGTGATTTTTTAAAAAGTATTTTAAATATACACAAGATATCAGAAATAACCTTATTATTATTACTTCTAATTCTTACTATTTTCGATAATTTTATGTCAAACGTCAATTAAAAATTTTTGGAAAATCCGAAAGTGCACGACCGATAATGCTAATATGATCATGAAAACATGTAGAAAAAAAATACGTGTGGCACTCGGGGACTGCCGCGGTAAAGTTATTGCATAGCATTTTTATCAACTTATGCAATTATAATTGCTGGAGCCACGTGTTTAAGGCTGCCGAAGTCTAGTTCCCCGGTCGAACCTTAAACCTATTGCGCGAAATATTCATCTAAGTGGACTGTATCTACTAATGCTTCTACACTTGTATATGCGGTACAATGCACTCGCTCTTCCCAAAAAAACGAACTATTATGCCAAATCGATGAAAGGAATCCTGCTTGATTAGGAAAACACAAAATTGGAGCGGGTTAAAACTACTATATCAAGCAGGCAATAATAATGGATATTGACTCACCGGGATGTTTCTTCTATGCGGTCGAGCACTATAACTGCGACTTCTGGAACACTCCGGAGAGAGGCGGTGCGCGACTATATCTCACACGAGGTGAGGCGGGCTTCCTGGAGCTCGACTGCTTCCAGGCTAAAGCGGTTTCTACTAATGATGTGTTTCCAACAACGAGCGCGGCGGGAAGAGGCCACGCGTCGGTCGCGCGTGTCATATATATCCTCGGTTCCGATGATTACGTGACGTTCTAGAATCATCTTCTTTCCCCTCCCACCCCACCACCCCGATGTGTCGATAGGAGGGTACGAATGATATCGTTTTGGAAAGGGATAACCGATTTGGCAACCTACCGTCAAATAAAATAAATACGAATGGTTTTCCGCGCAACCATCTCCCCCGCCCTTGAAGGATCTCCTTCAAAATAACTAAAACAACTAGAGCTAAGATCAACTAACAAATAACTAACTAACGCTAAGATTACCTAAATTCAACTACAATTTAATCTAGAAAGCTAATTTAAATTATGGAAGAGGCAAGGGGCACAAACGGACAACAGGACGCAGGTAAGACCCAACCGTGGTGTGAACGCGAGCTACCCTAATTACTCCGTCGGAACCGGGAAAGACCTCTTCGACAATTCCTAACGGCCAATGGAGAGGCGGCGCATTCTCTTTGGTGAGCACAACTACAGTCCCTACAGCTAAAGGCTCAGTTGCTGTGTTCCATTTTTGTCGAGACTGCAATATGCAAGTATTCCATCCTCCATCGTTTCCAAAACGATTGCACTAACCGGTCTAATAATTTGTGGCGTGCGGAAATGCTAAGTCTGTTCTCATCCATATATACGGCGGGCCAATACTTTAAAGGCGTTAAATTCAAAAAATGTGCTGGAGTTAGAGCCAGCGGTTCCGAGGGGTCACTAGACAACGTCCGACAAAGTGGGCGGCTATTCATTACGCATTCAATTTGAGCGAGCACCGTACTTAGCTCTTCGAAAGACAAAATTTGATCTCCTATTACTCGGTATAAGTGACTCTTTAGACTCTTAATATTGGTCTCCCAATTGCCTCCAAAATGACTCGCGGCTGGGACGTTCAGAGACCACTCAATGCGGTTCTCGGCTAGAATGTGAGCGAACTCCGAATTATAATACTTGCTAGCTAAGAGCTCATGTAGTTCCGATAGAATACGTTTTGCACCGACGTAGTTCGTACCGTTATCCGAATATAATTTACTTACAGGGCCTCTACGGGATAGAAATCTTTTAAATGCACCCATAAAGCCTGCTGTGCTTAGATCACCAACGAGTTCTATATGCACCGCTCGAGTAGTTAGACATACGAAAATGCAGACGTAAGCCTTTGTGGATCTTATACCACGCCCGCGAGTGAGCGTGACCTTAAACGGACCAGCGAAATCCGACCCGGTGTGCGTGAAGGGCTTTACCGATTGTATTACTCTACAAGATCCAAGTTCCGCCATTTCCGGAAATGACGGGTTGGGGCGTGCCCGAAAGCAAGCTATACATCTGTGCACCCGATTGCGTATTAAACTACGTGCAGAAAGAATCCAATAATTTTGACGCAAAATCGACATCAACAAGTCGGGGCCAGCGTGCGAGTTCAATTTATGATGGTAATCGACTAATAAGTTCATGATATGGTCTTTACGCGGTAAAACTATAGGGTACCGTTGGTCGAAACTCAACTGCGAGTTGGACAAGCGTCCACCTACCCTTACAATCCCATCCTGTAAAAATGGCTTAAGGCGTTGAAAGGCGCGACTACAAGCTCTATTCGATTGTAATCTTGTAATTTCTTCAGAGAAATGCGCACGTTGAAGTTCACGTAATACTAGCGACTCGGCATAGTTGTAATCGGACGCTAAGACATACGAACGTCGCGGTAAAAGCTTCGCGAATCGACAAACGTAAATTACGCTACGCAATAATTTCGTCCAAGAGGACAAGCGGTTCGCCAAAGCAATGATTGGAGAAACCTCGCTCGAAACGTTCGCCACTAGAGCGTGTCTCTTCTCTTCCGGCGGTTGTGACACTGACGAAGGTTCGAAATCGGTTATCGGCCATTGTGAGGGATCCAAGTGAACCCAAGAAGGTCCATGGAACCAAAGCGGGTGGTCCATTATTTGCATCGGGGTGAGTCCACGGGATAGACAATCGGCAGGGTTTTCCGTACCGGACACGTGATAAAAGTTCCGCGTTTCTAACTCGTCTTGGATCTTGGCCACTCGGTTCGCGACAAACGTATCCCAACGGTGGGGTGAAGAATGAACCCAGCATAAGGCGACGGTGGAGTCGGAAAAGGCAAATATCCTTTCTATGTGAACTCTATTCCTACATGCGCTGATAACTGCGGTAATAAGCTTGGTGAGTACTAATATTGCGCAAAGCTCTAAGCGCGCCAGAGAGACAACCTTACGGGGGGAGACTCTCGACTTAGAACTAATGAGGCTAATCGAATTTCTACCATTATTCTGAACGTGGAAATATACAACGCCCCCATAAGCCTTCTCGCTGGCGTCTGCAAACCCAACGACCGTTATGACGCTATTTCTATCGACGTTTATATGACGCGGTATTTTAATTTCTCTTAGTAAAGGAAGTTCCTCTCTAAAGCGCTGCCACAATCGAACAATGCTGTCAGGCGGCGAGTCATCCCAATCGCATTCAAATAACCAAAGTTGTTTAATCAAAAGCTTAGCGTATAATACCACTGGAGCTACGAAACCCATGACATCCCATAATCTAGCAACGCATGACAGTATTGTGCGCTTTGTGCATTTCTCTACGGGCGGATTTACCTTAAGGCTAAACACGTCGGACTCTGGTGACCAACACAGACCGAGCACCTTGTGTGTATCGGAATCGTCGAATTCCTTTATCGCCGAAAGACGGTGTGATAGTGGGATTGTATCTAAAACCGGACGCGAATTACCAGTCCACTTCACAAGATCGAATTGACCCGATTTCATGAGCCTTATAACCTCGGCGGTGGTTAGGGTGGCCTCCTCCACGCTATCGACCGAGTATACAAAATCATCCATATATAATCCGCTCTCAATTGCCCTCTTAGCTTTAGGGTAAGAGGGACCTTCATCGTGGGCGAGCTGTTTCACCGTGCGTAACGCATGAAATGGGCTCGACTTTAAACCAAAACAAACGCGGTTAAATTCAAACACCATTAGAGGTTCCTTTGGGTTGAAACGATATAAAATGCGTTGGAATCTACGGTCGCATTCATGGACCCCTATGCAAAGAAACATTTGGCGAATATCGGCGGATAGTGCTATACTAAACAAACGAAAATTTGCTATTATATTAAATAAACTGCCCTGTAAATTTTGCCCACTATAGAGGATATCGTTAAGCGACAGGTGAGTGCTAGTTTTAGCGCTAGCGTCGAGCACTACACGTAACTTAGATGTAAGTTTGTCCTCCCTAATGACCCCGTGGTGTGGTATGAAATACGACGGTGTGTCTTCGTAGTTATCTAATTTCGAAGCCACGAGTGATATGCAACCTTCTCTTATATATTCATTAATGACGCCGTCGTAAGCTTCCTTTAACTGGGGTGAAGCGAGCATCCTACGCTCCAAACTGTAGAAACGTTTTTCCGCCATTTGACGCGAATCGCCGAGAGATAAAACATCTCCCTTAAAGAGCAGCGCTACACTATATCTACCGTCGCGATCACGAACGGTCGTGCGGACGTAAATTTCCTCGCATAATCTGTCATCTGAGCTAGCTATGGGTGGGACGTTCACCTCCTCCATCTCCCAAAATTTGCGGACTAACGACTCGAGCGGTTCGACAGCCATACCACAATAAGAGGTTGCCGAAATACTATCTATGATGGGGGCGGAGCCAATGATAACATAGCCCAATACGGTTTCTAGTGCGTAAGGCGCGGTATGCGAGGAGTTGCCCCTGACCTAATTGTTTAACAAAAGATGAGGGAAAAGCGATGCTCCGATGAGCATGTCTATGTTTCCAGGAACGGCGTAAGTGTCGTCTGCTAGAATCAAATTTTTTTTCGGTTGGCAACCGTTCAGTGACCCTATCTACTACTAGTGCATTTATATCAAAGTTAACATTACGATCTATCCGAGAATAAAATTTTAAATTTATATATCCCTGGGTAGCTTTACTAGTACCTCCGATGCCTTTAACTACAGGACATGAAAGTGACC